CGGAATGGATCGAAAAATAAACCTCAAATATGCACTATGAAGAAAGTCCAAACCTTTTTGTGTGGTTTAGAGACAGAAAAACTTGCATTTCAGGTCTCCGAAAACCCAGTTTCAAAAGACCTGAAAAGCTGAAAGGTGTGTTTTGTTGCATTAACTGAATATTGTGGAAAGTAATCAGTGATATAGTGGTGATTAAAATGATAATTCACGGCAAACTACTCTCCCCCAATTAGCTACCCGAATAACAAATAATAGCCAATACTGGCCCTGCATTTACTTGGTATTGGATCGATACCAATAATTGTAGTGTGGAACAGCACTACTGTGAATGAGGGAAATGTGAATGTTGATTTTTTTTTGTTGTTGTTGAAATGTTCATGCAAGTATATACATGTTAAATGACAAGATATATAAGATTAAGGTTTTGTACAAAGTATTGGTATCGGATCAGTATCATGATACCACCTTGAATTTTTAATTTTTTTTTTAGTTTTTTTTTTTAGACCTGGAGCTAAATGTGCCTGTCTCTAAAGTACTTTGCGTCTACATCTGTTTTTAAAATGATATAAAAAGTAGATTTCAGACACCTTTCATAGTGCATGTTTGAGGGTTTTGTTTTTTTTTCCATTTCCAATGAAATTAACAATTAAAATAATTTAGAACTTCTTTTTTTTTTTTTTATCAGACAGCATTTGACAGTCTAGAGCAAGGATGTCAAGCTCATTTGACATAGTGGGCTGCACACAACATACAGAAGTTTAACCATCCATTGAATTCCTCAGATATCTTCATATAACAAAAAAGAAGTACCTTTTAAGCAGTATGTCTCAGTTTTTCTACACGATAAAGAAATGCTGCTGTATTAAATGGAAGAAATCTGTCCATATTGTAAGTACTGGATGTAACAGACTATGACTTTCTAACTGTGAACACTCTTTAAAAAGATAGAAGTTTCAGTTGTAGATATTGAATTTAACTGTTTATCTATTATTTAGTTACTTTGGTGTGTTATGAATGGTTACGGAGGAGGTCCTTATCAGTAGGAAAAGCTGTCAACCTTATAGAAAATACAGTTAAAAGTCCCAAATTTATGCCCCTTTTCTCAATTTTTTTCCAAGTCTGTTTAGTTGGACAGAATGGAGTCTTTGGTGGTCTGATTCTGGCCCAGGGGCCATGTGTTTGGCACCCCTGGTGCAAAGGTAGAAACAGAAAGTCGTGCAACTTTGCATGCAAGCTGTTGCTAATGTCTAAATCCCAGTAACTATCAACACCAAGAAGAAGAAGCATGAATACAATTTACTTGTTGCATTCCTATGGTTTGACACCTAATGCTATCCACACAGTGTTCTTTTCTTCAAGTGCTCTTTGCTTGAACTTGTCAAGCTGCTACTTGATCTAGAAGCTGAAACGTGTGGGTGGGGCAATACAGACATTTTACTAAAGTTAATATTGCTCAAGAGTTAGATTGATAGGCAGTTTTGCTGTACCCGTGATAATGCTGACATCACATATACTGGTTCCAGTTGCAAAACGGCACTTTGCATCAGTTTCAAGAAGAGGGATTTGCCAATAGGAAGACAGCAAGAAAGATTGCTCAATGACATATCTTTTTTTTCTTTTGGTGTACATCCAGAGGTACTTGCTTACAATTTCGAATATCTTTTCATGCCATTGCCAGTGGATCAGTATTGTAGGATGCAAGTCAAAGTTTAATGTTGTGTTGCTTAGTTTCACAATCTTAATGGACGACCTTCTCTGATCATGACTTTACAGTTAGGATTTTATGATTTGGTGGCATTTCAACTATAATTGTTCACCTTCCCACCTCATTGATTTATTTTGTAGATACTGAAATGCGGGGAATGGTATTCTTAAATAAAGAACTGCACGATATTGTGGTTATTCAGTGCGACATGTTTATTATGTAAACCATACACCGTTGCAACATCTGACCACAGTCTCCAGGGTCAGAGCCACACATTATATATTACAGATCAGGCTGGTATAATGACATTTCTTGTATAAAGAGAAAATAAGCCATTCTTATTTAAAAATATATACAAATCAATATGTTTAAACAAAAGCTCTCTTACAAGGGTCTATATGGCAATTGTGTTGAATTATTCAGGAGTCCAGTTGTGACTCTTGGAATGTTCTGCAAGGCTTCATAGACATCATAAAAATGTAATCCATTGGCTAAAGCTTTTAGTTTCAAACAAACATTCACAATGAAGAATGGATACGAACTCTTGTGATTCTTGATTTGACGTGCACTGTAACCAAACCACTTGGGAATCAGTAATGCCAATTTCCAGTTTAAGATTTTAGCTGCAGAGGTCACAAAAAGTTTGCAGGTATGTCCTGCAAGACTGTAATGTGCAATAACCAAAATCTTCACTTTTCCACCTCCTCCAAGTTTATGGTATGCTTACTTTACATAGCCCATGTGCATTTCTAAAATTATCTAAAAAAAAACTGTAAAAGACTGATTTGAGACTTCATACCATAGCAGATCTCTGTGTGCAGCACAGCTTCCTGCTGAACATGATGAAAACTGCTAACAAAACAATTGCAAATAAGACGATTATCATCATTTGTCCAAAATGAACTTCCTGTGCCTTTGTGCGCAATGAACAGTACAATGAAGGGTTCATCAGATATTCTGTCACTGTAAGGTTTCTAACTCTCGTAAAGCATTCTGCCTCACTGATATCAGGCACTGTAATCTCAGTCTCATTTAAGACCATCAACCATCTGTTGTCACAGCAGTTGAAAGGATTCCCGCTTATATGCATGACAGTAAGGTTTGTGGATAAAGCACGAATCAACGAAGGGTTTAAAGTTATAAAAACATTATGTCTTATGTCAATTTCTCTCAGGGGAGAACAACTTAAACTTCTGGGAATTGTATCCAGCAGGTTGTTCGATACGTTCAGGTGGGTTAATGCCGGCATGCACGGTAGAGACAACAGACGAGAGCTGGTTAAGTTGATCTCACTGATAATTAAGGACTGAAGAGTTGTTTGCACTCCTTCTAGCGCCCCCTCTTGCATGACCAGTGATGGATTTTTTGCAAGGCTGAGGGAAACCAAAGAAGTCCCCTGAAATGTGTTAGGCTGAAGCATTTTTATGCCGTTTCCTTTAAGATTGAGGTGTTTTAGAGTCCCTAAGTAGGCGAATTCAACACAAAGGTCATCAAGGTTTGTTTGCTGTGTTGAGTTAATGCTTCCTAAGTGATCAGCAGAAGTGCAAGGTTGGACTGAGTTGTCTTGCAGATTTAGTCTTTCTATTTGTGTGAGTGCACTGAGAAAAGGTGGGGAAATATATACCAGCCTGTTGCTTTGCAGGTCAAGGTGCTTTAGGGAGCGGAAGAAAAGCTGGCGAAGGGGTCCTGAGTCAGAGTCATTTCTCACATCCCAGATGATGCTTTGTAGACAGTTATAGCTAAGATTCAGAGTTTCTAAAGACAGCAAGAGGCTTAAAGTCTCGATTGGGAAAGACCTGAAGTGGTTGTAGCTCAGGTCAATATAAATCAGTGGCATGGGTCTCCAGTTTGAGTGTAGGTTGTTTTTTATTGCAATTTTTTCACCTACAATCTCACTATAAAGAGAATTTGTCTCTGACACCACCGCAGCCTCTGAATAGGAACCGATCATGTTATTCTGTAAATAAAGATACCGCAAACGGTTCATTTTCGGAACGATTGGAAAGTAAAGAAGTTTGTTGTGGCTGAGATCAAGAACTTCAAGCCTGTACAGCCTGCTGTCCTCATGTGTGACAAAAAACTCTACAGAGTTTCTGCTCAGATTTAGAAATTTCACTTGACGCAATTTAAAATCACAAATGTGCGCAAGATTGTTTTTAGCCAAGTTTAACACCTCTAATTGGATCAGTGATTCGAACGTCCCTTCTTCGATCTCAGATATCAGATTGTCGTCAATAGCAATGGCCCTCAGGCTTTTACTCTCTGTGAATAATTTGTGTGAAAGTCTTGTTAAAGCATTACCGGTCATCTTGAGCTGATCGAGGGCGGATTTGTTTCTAAGGTAGTGCTCGGCTGCAAAGTCACTCAGGCCGTTCATTGATATGTCCAAATCCTTCAGCCCTCTGAGGGATTGGAGGGCTTTGCTGTTATTGCCAAGGTTGTTGTTTAGGTCGTTTCTGGACAAATTCAGCTGCTCAAGTCGAACCAGGTTTTCAAACAGCCCCTCGGAGATGAGATCCAGCTGGTTGTTGCTCAAGTCCAGCTGCTCCAAGTAAGGCAGCTCAAGTGTGTGCAGCTGTCTGATGAAGTTATTGGACAGGTCCAGTCTTCTGATCCTTACATCCAAATCCACAGGGACAGAAGAGAGATTCCGATTGTTCCAGGACTGCTCCTTGAAATTAAAGGAACACAGTGTGAGCCTCAGAGATTTTAAAAAATATCAAAACCAGCAATTCTGTAGGCTTAAGAAATAAATAAATAGTGCAAATTTAAAAACATTTAGCATTTATATTGATCATGTTGAACCTACCCTCGAAGCATAATACGTCAGTCCTGTTACGCAAAGGTCATGGCTGAGTGACCAGAGTAGTAGGAAGTTGGAGAACATATGTCTGACCATTCTCCCTCTGCTGCTGCTGCTAAACTGTACCATTGCTGTTGTCAGAGCTCGTATGCACTCACACACACACACACCAACACCCTCTTATAGCCATGCTTCATCAAAAAAAAGGGAGAGAGAAAACAGCTGTGGCCACCAGATAGGGAAGGTGGATACTATATTTAGACAATAAAGACATGACCACGTAGACCGCCTCTTTCTGTCAAGCTTTAGGTCACATGTAAGCAAAAAATTTGTAAAAAAAAAAAAAAAGGTTTGTAGACAAACATATTGTGTTTTTAGTGCTAAGTGAAGCCACTTTTAGAGATAAATGCATTTAGAATTTGCTAGCACTTTAAATACAAGTTGAGAAAAAATTTGCACCGACGCATATTATCCCATTTATAACAACTTTAATTAGATGATGATACATTATTTATTGTGGTGTTCAAGAACCTTCCTGGGAGATAAATTTATACATTTGTTTGTTCCTGACAAAGTCTCTGGAAACGGAAAGCGTTTTAAAATAGACAAGAGGAACAAATAAGCAGACAGCGTGTAGGTGGAACAGGAGGGAAGCCCCCAGCAAGGTATAAAGGAACACGCCTAAAATAGACTGATGAAAGGAGGTGCTGGCACATGAGTACAAATGTTTGGGAGTCAGCCCAGGACATGCACCCAAATTCTACATTATAAAGCTAATATATATTTGAAAAAAATGTATTTGCCTGGCAGGAAAAATAGTTTTCCTGCTGCTGCCACTCTGCTTTATATCTGCGCAGCCCTCACGCTGCTCAGTGTCAGTTTCCCACTTCCAGCAACAGTCAGCTGCATCCTTATCATCCTCCCACTGTCTTGTTTCAGTTCAGCTGTATGACACCAAAGAAGGTTGAGTCTTCATCTGTAGATATCAGGGCTGTGGGCCTGTCTGGGATCACCAGTTCTAGCTCGTCATCCTGAAGCAACTGCACTGTGCCTGCAACAGAGGACAAACGCTGTGAGAAAGTGCCTATGTATTTAAACGTATAGTACATGTTTGCTATACACAAAAGCCTTTTTACTATTGTTGCTACTTTTGGATTGTTTTTTCTGCTAATGGACTTGTATGTTGTCGGATATCCTGGATATTATGGCCATCTCATGGTTTTTATGAGGGGCACTGCCCAAGGCAGAAAAATGGAGCCAGTGCAGAAATACCAAAAACTGCAGTTTGTCTAATGGATGCTTGAGGCTGGCACCAAAACCAGGTCAAATACTCTATAGACTCCCAGTTAAAAGGCCTGTACAGCATTAACAAGCATGTTTATAGCCTGGCACAAAAGAAAGATTTGGGAATTTATGGATAAGCTAGTGCTTGGTAGCTGAATTTTCTTTTCTTTCTTTTTTTAAAATGGAGGCTGGTGATATTTAAAACTCAGGGCGTGCCCAGCTTGACAGGTGTCCCAACACAGGAAGTTACAGTTGACTGCACTTGCGGTGTTAGGGCCTTTTGGAGCGTTTGTAAACTGAATTATATGAAAAAGTATTTAACTTGCTGACTTGTTTGAATGACTACAGTTCCTGAGATTCATTAGCCTCTTATTTACCATCAGTAAGTAGATACCCTTTGCAGAAAGCTAAGCAAGCTCCAGTTATGGTTATGTCTGGTTCCAAAAGTGCAAAATAGCAGCTCTCAAAATGCTTCAAACTATTGGCCGACACAGGCTTAAAACCTGGAATAAACTGTGTCGCTGCACAAAGGCGCCGATATAAGATAAACAGGGATTATTTTGAACTGTAAATTATTGCAAAGCTACTTTAGTATAGTGTCTAAGAATAAAAATGTGGAACTAGAAATCAGCACGAGAGATCCACTTTCAAGGAACAGTGTAACATTTTCAAAAATATGCCTATTTGACCTCGATAAGTAGAGGAAGGAACAGCGCTGTGTATTACAGAGAGCGCCTGTATCCAAAAGCAAAAAAACCCTCCACAGCAGCAGTCTCTCACTGACCTGCAGTGTAGCATGTGTTGGCAGGATATCTATCGGGCATCGCTTGCAGGCAGCGCAACAGCTCGGCTTCAGCTGAGGCCCTACTTCGAACGACATGACCCATAACTATGCTTGGGCTTTCAAACAAAACCTGCAAATAAAGCAGAACATTACCTAACTGGTTGGAACAAATCATATGCATGATCAATTTAGTTCTGCTCGAGTTAGAGTGACACAATACTTGTCCAAACACCAAGTAATAACCGTCTTCTTGGACAACAATTCTGTTTTCCTTTTGTGAAATTGCATTTCCTCGCTGTGCAGAAACAATCCAAGAGATCACAGTTATATTTCCTGTGAGAAAAAGGAAAGATACGCTTCATCAAAATAATGGCAGAAGGCACAGCGGTACAGCCAACGACTTGGATTTAGTTTTACCTCTTATGTCTGGCCGTTTGTTAGTGTCAGCCCTTAACTGCAGAAATGCTGTTGGAGCTGGCAAGAGAAGGAAATAAACACTTGACTTTCATTTTTTATTAACTTAGCATATACTGTTTGTGCTGTCATCACCAGATTAGACTGGAACTAACAAGATATTTTCAGTTCTCAGCTCTGACCCACCTCTAGAACTGCCTGGGTCCCTTTTGACTCTCCTAGAAGATATCTTCAGAGAACTGTGAGCTTCCTGGAAGACTCTTGACTTAATGTCCTATGAGAAAAACAAAGCCTTGCGATAAAATTTATTATTGCAGCGCTATCTGAACAACTCACTAATGGTATAAATCTCAGTAGTACAATGTCCAAGATGACTCCATCCTGTATAATCAGTGACATACCTCGCTTGTTTTAAGCATCTTGGCCAATTTCCCATCGACTCCCTCAGAACATGGTTGATTTAATTGTAGAATTATGTCTCCTTGGAGTTTGCGAAAATCATTTTCTAAAACCCTGGCTCTGTGCACCAGGAAAAGACTGAGACAAAACATGAACGCTGTGAGTGATAATAACGCATTATAGAGCATTTTGAGACTAACAAGCTGTCCCCCCCCAGTCCCCAAGTTACTCAAACGAGTGAAGTCACACATCAGTACACTCCGGAAACCTAAACGTTCAGTTTCAAAATTAGTTTTTAAATGAGGAACTATCTTTGCCCTGCCTCTCAAGATGGAACTCATTTGGAGTGCATGAAAATTACAGCCAAACTCTGAGATGTATTGTGAAACTCGCAGTCGAAGTAAAAAGCCACATTTTAATAAAGACAAAGGCCTCGCTCGCAGAGCATCATTTGTTCTTGTCAGTACTCGTGCCAGCTCAGTCCGATATGAAAGAGAAGTTGTAACCTTTTAAATTAATACCACCGGCTGCACAAACACAAGAGACGAATGGTTTAGACAGAAAATGAAACATTTTAATCCATCAATCAACTCCATTTACAAAAGTATATCCCATTTTATATACAGTATGTACAGACATGTATTAACAACTATCATTTCTCTACATGGATTCATTCATAAGGTAACTAAACAATAGCGCTGTAACAAAACATATCACTGATATTCTGCAGGGATGTTGTAGTGCAAATGCGCGCAAAATATATAGTGCTGTTGCTCTGTGAACACCTTATAACTCCAGTTTTAGTGGATTTTCTTTACTTTGCATAGATACTTTTATACTTGTGTTGAACATTTGCATCATCTTTCATTTTCTTAAAAATGTTAATATATTCAAATGAATTAAAAAAGGCCAACAAAGCCCCAGAACAAAACATTTCAAATAGCTATTTTAGCTATTTTTAGCGTTTTTTGTTTTTTGGAGATACAAGATTATCATTCAACAGCACTTAGTATACATCAACACAGTGTCCTTCCTCACTTTAAAGAGAGATCCCGTCTTTGCCGGTACAAAATGGCGACTACAAATAGAAACTTCTCTCTGATGAGAACATTTGGTTCAACCATCTCTGCGCAGAATTAAAGTAAAGGGCAGCAGAAGTTGTCTTATTTGGTTCATTTGAATACAGACATCTGTGGAAGTGAACAAAAGTCACTAAAGGGGCGTCCTCAACTTTTACCAGCCCTCTAAACAGAGGCAAAACATAGGCTTTTAAATTACTGTGTCAATCCCACGTCAGGCAGGACGAACAGGCAGTGTGACTCTGGGCTAACGTGACTGCTGCTTTTTGGTTACGCATCGGAGGGTTGGGGGTGGGCGCTGGTGACTGTGCAGTTATCCGTTCTGTCCAGCAGATGGAGCCTCTCCAAGTCTGACACTTCCCAGGAAAGTGGTGTGGTTGGTCATATTGATGAGTGTGTACTCATGAGCTATGCGTATATAGATCTTTTGGCCGGCGCGGAGTGGGCTCACACCAGCCGTGTAGCAGGTGTTGAACTTGCGCTGGCCCGTCTCAATGCTGCAAGTACAGCGGAGGAATGGGCT